GTGAAGTTGAGCCTGGGAAGAAGGGATGGGTTGGGGGGAAGGTGTTTTAAAATTTAGTTTTATTTCTCATTACCCTACTCTGATTTGACTGGTAATAAATTAAATTAATCTCCCCAAGTCGAGTCTGTTCTGCCCGCAACGGTAACTGGTGAGTGATCTCTCCTTGTCCTTATATCGACCCACGAGCCTTTTGTTATATTCTCTCCCCACTGTCCAGCTGAGGAGGGGAGCGATAGAGCGGCTTCGGTGGGCACCAGGCATCCAGCCAGGGTCAACCAGCCACAGCTTACCAGAAAAATTTTCAGCTTATGGAAAAAGAATGAGGTATTATGTAGGACTAAGGCTCTCCCACTTGCCAGCTGTGAGTTGTAGTTAGCAGACAAGGCTACTTGAATGCTACTGTGTCCCAGTAGTTCCTTTGTATTTTGTTTGTTTATGGGGTAAAAAGGAAGAAGAAACAAAATGTAGTTTTGAGAGAGACTTGTTTTTTCGTCTGACTTGCTTAATGGCAGATGCATGAGTAGAAGCAGAAAAGAACTGATTGTGAATTATCCAGTGAGACGGTCTCTCAAGAAAGAACAGTACATTTTCTCACTGGGAAATACTCACTTTTAACCAACAAAATTAACCTTAAAAGATGTTGTTTGGTCTCAGGCTGACAGAATGGATGTTGCGGTGAAGACTCTTGGCCTATGCTTAGCCCTTGGGGAGGGAAGGAATGCTAATGCTAACTTCAGGACACCAGCATCAACCCTTGCCTGTGATTCTCATGTTTTTGCAAAGCTAAAATTTTCTTTTCACATATTCTGTTTTATTTTCTCATTTTTCCTGTTTATAAATAAAACTTACAGAAATTTGCTATGATTTTACTGTCCAAAATGATGTGCTTTTCATTTTGTAAATAATTTCTGTAACACTGAGCTCAAATAAGTACGCTCATTTCTTCAATGAGAGCACAGTTATGATGACTGAGGTACTGAAGGTTAATCAGCCAAACAGGTGGTACTGAAGGTTAATCAACCAAACAGGTTGGGCTCTCTGCATAGGCAGCTTTGTACATCCTAAAATCAAATTGGGAAATTTTATTGTGAGGACACTGCTCTAGATGACAGCAAAGGTGATGTGTACTCTGGCATTTGAACCAACAATTTTGATAAATGTTTCCCTCCTCCTGGCCATGTCTGACATGCGTAAGGAATATGCATAGGTAATATGATCGAGCTGTCAAGAAAGGTGGGCTGTGTTCTTATTCAAACTGCTTGGTTATGGATATAACTGTGTTGCCATTGCAGGAAGCAGTGCAAGTATTGATTAAGCACTCGGCCGATGTCAATGCTCGGGACAAGAACTGGCAGACACCGTTGCACGTGGCGGCTGCGAACAAGGCAGTGAAGTGTGCGGAAGTCATCATCCCCATGCTGAGCAGTGTCAACGTCTCTGACCGAGGGGGGCGGACAGCATTACACCATGCAGCTCTGAATGGCCACATTGAGGTGAGTTATTTAAGAGTGTAGTGGATTGTTGGTTTATTTATTTTTTTTCCTGGTTCAAACAGTTGACCTGCTGTGGCTGGGTCTAGACTGACCCCCATGATGCCTATCATTCAGCTGCTTCCAAATTGTGTGACCAGTTTCCTACCTGCAGAAATGAGACAGTGGCTGGGAAGTACCAGTGCTGAGCCGGCATGCAAGTGAGGTGTGCATGCAGACGTGGAGAGCTGGCTGTGCCACCAGCTCTGGCAACTCAGGTGTGTCCTTGGCTCTTTTGAGCTTGACTGCCTGCAAAATTAAGAGTGTCAGAATGGAAAGAAGGGAAAACGGGTGGATTAATTTCATATGGAAGAAATGTTCAGCTGCGTGAGATCCAGTCGGTCTGCTTTTCTAATTAGTCTTATAGAAAATGTGCTTCTGGTTTTTCTACTTATCTTATACAAGCAAACCCTTCTAGTCTAATTACTGTTTCTATATTAAAAAAACGATACTTTTGTAAATAAAGCCCCTATGTAAAGAGTTTTGCTGGCATCTTTAGGTCTGGCTGTAAGGATCCTCGTTCACCCATTCCACACCTGAAGTTCTAGCTAGTGAATAAAAACTCTTAGACTGGAACAGTAGGCTTCTGTCAGGAAGAGAAATGGTGGTTCCTGTAAAATGATGATGGTGTTTGGCCTTTAAAATACTGCTCTATAGGAAAGAGATAGTAATGCTTGAGTCTAACCATCATAATCTAAAGCTCCTGAGCTTTTGGATAGAGTATATCAGAAATGTTAACTGAATATACGCTGTTATTAGCCGATCTCTGTGGCAAAGCAGTGTACAAGAGAAAGACAATCACCCAGCTCTGTACCTTATGATTTTAAAATTTTTTCAGCAAAAGACAGTTGTTGAATGTGTTTTCCATTCAGTTTCCTTTCTTTTTTTCCCTGATTTTTCTTACGTTTAATGTTGGATGATTAGCAATGGGGAAAGCAGCTTTTCACCTCTTAGGCATGCTGCCTAAAAGGCCGGCGTTGTATGCGAAGCAGCCTGGTGCCTGTCCATGCTGCCATGGGCACATGGGTATGTAATGAAAATCATTGTGGCGTGGCAAGAAATAGACACTCCTTGTTAAAAGATCAAGCAGATTTTAGGGTTTGTTACCTCACAGTCTGGAGGAATCTTGTCCCAATCCACAAGAAAACCCCTTAAATTGGTCTTAACAGTAAAAAGTAAGAACGATGTTTCTCTTCCAGGCCTGTTTCTCTTCCAGGTTGTTTACCAAGCTGAATTTGAAGCACACTGGAGTAGCAGCACCCTGCATGCTCAGCCCCCTCTGTGGACACAGAACTTGTCCTGGTTACTTGTGGCTGCCACTGATCCATGTCATTAATGCACACAGCTTTGAACAGTATCTGTGTAATTCACAAATTAATTGTTCTAAAGCAAGATTTTGTGATCCCAGCTTTATTGCTAGAATGATTTGTTATGAACTGTTGTGTGTGTTATCTAGAGGGTTGGTTTACTTATTGTTGTTACTTCTAGATGGTGAACTTGCTCTTAGCCAAGGGGGCAAACATCAATGCTTTTGACAAAAAGGACAGAAGAGCTCTTCACTGGGCAGCATACATGGGTAAGGCTTGGGCTGTTGCTCCTTCTTTTTAATTTCCTATTCACAAACCAACAGCGTGTTTTAAAATGGACAAGAGCAGACCTGGACATGAAAAGTGAGTGTTGTATTTACCCTGAAGAGGGAAGGGTTCAGCTGATCTAAATACACACTGTCCATTTACGATTTTGCAGCTGGTGAGAAATTGGCTGTGATTTCCTGTTTAACACAGTTAATTGTGAGCTTTTTGTGTTTCTTTTTTCATTTTGGTTAATTCCAGCCTGAAGTATATTTGGGCTTGAAAAAGTACAGGTTATATTTGTTTCAGTTTTTGCTAAAAACTATTTTATGTAAATTGCAGATAAATACGATCATAAATTTTGCTATTTATCTATGTTTATAAGTAGCTAAGTTTTGATATTGTTAGGAATTGCCTCACAGGCTTTCTTCCTGTTAGGAGCAAATTGTCATCTTTTATTCCAGAGTGGACAAGAGCAACCGATTTGTTGATTCAAAACATCAGTGGTGTTATAAAATACTGCTTAATTAAATCAATTGACCTTATCACTCCTTTCAAGTTAAAGGGAAATTTCTTATAGTGGGGCATTATAATTTAAAAATACTAGAACATGATTGCCTGTGATGGTGGTCACACTTGTTCAAGAGCTTTCATTGGTCAAGCAGTGTATTCCAAATTATAATTTGTGAGGTGAGATAATAGGAGGTTTCAAACTGTGAGAAAAGCATATTATGCTTTTTTTTTATATACACAGACAGATGGAAAGACTCTTGCCAAGCAATGTGATTTGGCTTTTGAGCTAGCAAGCTTTGAACTCCACTCTGTAGAAGTGGAAGGCTTTTATATTGTGCTGTGCAATTCCACATCTCTATTGCTCTTAATTCTTTTCAGAAATTTGTTATGTACTTTTCAAAATATTTGGATAACATTTGAGGCCTAAATTAGCAATGGTATTTAGGAGTCGGTAGTGTAATTTGGACAGAATTTAGATAATGAGACCTGAGTATCTTATCCTATAAACCCTCACGTCATTTCTTCAGTGCTTATATATCTTTGGGCACTTTGGACTTTGTCCATAAAGTCTCCTAGGTCCTGCACATGACCAGAGCTGCCTCTGTCTTGAAAGTGCTGTACAACTCAGACGGTGCACAACTTTATATGGTGTTTGACAGTATACATTTTTAATTTTAAGACAGACAGCTCTGCTTCGACATGAAGCAATAAGGACTATTCCTCAGTTAGCTTTGATTTAATTTTGGTTGTTAGGGTACTATCTGGGAAGGCAGGCCAGATGGTTTGAGACCTTCAGAGGGAGGAGAGAACTGAAGATACAGGTGGGTTATAAGTTGCATTTTGAGATGCTCAGCCCTTCCTCTGTATTCTGTAGGGATACCCTAATTCAGGGGTAGGCATTTCACTCCTGAAGATGCATGTCCCTTCAATCAGGCAGTCAGCCCTCAATCTGTGTGACTGTTGAGGCTATTGCAATTATTTTAGTTTGCAGACTAACTATGTGTGTATAGACTATGAATTCAGATTCAAACATTTATATACCTATAATCAGGATTTTTTGCACAGTTTTGCTTTAATGATACAGTTTTGGAGAGTCAAAAACCTGATCCAAAGATCAGTGGATTCAGTAGAAATCTTGTGTTTGTATTGGTAGGCTTTGGATCAAATTCTGCACTCATTTGAAATTTAGTTTTCTGGGTCCTCAATGGTGCTAGAAAAGAGGATACCTTCATTTTACCATTTATTAAAGTTATTTTGTATTGCTAACAAAAAACAAGTGTTAGCAGCTGTGTTTGCAGATGACATCAACAGGATGCTGTTTTGGGAGATTTGCATTGTCATGCTCCTGTGCTCATGGTTCTTTGTCACAGGGAGAATAAAACACAAACTGTTATTTTTAGAGAAATAAATGGGAGAGAGGTGTGTTTTTGTTCTTTTAATGACTGGAAGACTAATTCGGTAAAGAGAAAGTTGACACATCTGATGAAGGTGAATGCATGGATTTCTTGACAAGGCCTGGAGCTAGGATTAAGAACATTTATGAAAATGTTTTTTTTCCCTTGTAAAACTGTGGGAGCATTGTGAAACAGCAGTGAAGGGGGCAGTGCATTAACAAGAAAACAGTATTTTGGGAGAACTGGTGCTGTAGGATGGTATACTCATTGATTACTATCTTTCATCTTTTGAAGGTCACCTGGAAGTTGTTGCCTTACTGATTAATCATGGTGCAGAAGTGACTTGTAAAGACAAGAAGGGTTACACCCCACTTCATGCAGCTGCATCCAATGGGCAGATTAACATTGTGAAACACCTCCTTAACCTGGGGGTAGAGGTATGTGGTAATGTGCTCTTTGTGGCTTCCATATTTCTCCATATTTGGAGATATTCTTTTTTTCTTTCTTATAGGTGCTGCTACAGACTTTGGCAGAGCTTCTAAAGAAAATAGTTCCCATTTTCTGGACCACATTGTGCTTTATGTGGTTTATTGGTTCAAGAGCCAGGAAAGATTCTGGAATAAAAAAATGTCTGATATGGACAGTAAATTCCAGACCACCTTGCTGAAGAAATCAGGAAATACATGCTGTTCCTGCAGAGGAAGATCGAATAATGCAATTTCCCTTGGCTCAGCATTCCCTTTGATATGATGAGTGGTTGTTCTCAACATATATACTGCATACTTTACTAAAGAGCAGTTCAGGCTGTTTAAGTTTAGGGACCTGTATTTCCGCTGTAGCTGACGGAGGGAAAGAGAAAAATTATTTTCACTCTGGAAAAGAACTTTTTTCCAGGGCATAGACTTCTCTTAGCATAATATTGTCAACTCAGTGGTTCAAAGCAGCAGTGAGATGACCAGAAGAGCCTGCACTGGTTAATCAGAGGTGTCAAATAAAGCCATTGTATTTGCCATTGCATTTTGATCTGACTTGACCTGCCAAAAAAATGTCAGAGGTCCGTGTTCACAGGCTGTTGACTGTGAAGTTGAAGGGGAATAGGTGTTTCCTGTTACTAGCAGTACTATGCTAATAACTACCTTTAACTTCCACATTCTCAACCACTAGGAATATGATCTTTGAGATGCCTGTGTTTCGTGGAAGGGTGTTCACGTCATCCCCAAGTCTTTTGTACAATCTGTCTTGTCCTATTTTACAGAACAGCAGCTGAATACTAAGCTGGTCATCAAGAAGTAACATAATCTTAATTACATCTTTATAATACTGAGCTCCTGAAAGTGGTTTCTTATTGAAGTGTAAATGGCTGTGCAGTTTCACATTCCCTTTACTCAGACACCTTCACTCCCTTCCCAACAGAAATCTATGAAAAGGGCTCTTGAGCTTGATTTTGTTCACAAAAATTCAATAGTTGGTGTTTTAATATTTTTTGAATAAAGAGTGTGAGCTTTTTATTTATCCTACTTTCCCACTTACATGTAAAAGCTTTCCAGCTTGTTAGGACTTTTGTCATCATCATCACCATTACATAGTCTTGCTGTCAGCTTTAAGCTTCCTACTGGCTTTTAGAAATTGCCAGTAGGATAAAGAGTTAATAATAGTAAAGGTAAAGCATTCCAAATTAAGCTCTCTGGGAGTATATTTTTGTCAATGAAATTTGCTGGTAAGAAATATGCCCTATGACATTTCAAGCCTCCAGCTATTTCCGTTTGCAGTATGTGATGCATTATGTAAAATGGTAAGCTGATGTCTGTAATTTTAACTATGTCTCCTTGTCTCATTTTAGATTGATGAAATGAACATCTATGGAAATACTGCACTTCACATTGCCTGTTACAACGGTCAGGATTCTGTCGTTAATGAGCTGATTGACTATGGTGCTAATGTAAATCAGCCTAATAATAATGGATTCACTCCCTTGCATTTTGCTGCTGCCTCCACTCATGGAGCCCTGTGTCTTGAACTACTAGTGAATAATGGGGCAGATGTTAACATTCAGGTAAAACTTGCATTGCAGCTCTTCAGTTTTACTTTATCCTATTTTGCATACCTCAGGAGACTGGAAACTATAATGACGAGTACAGCATGGCTTTAAATCCTTGATGGAAATAGAGTGATGCTGAGAACGTTGATCATTAAACTGTTTGGATGAGATTACTTCCCAGCAGAGGAGCTCTCAGTGCCTTGATAAACATAATAACAGCTTTAAACTCTTGGCCAGCCACTCTCCTGAAGGCTTGAACCGCTACTAAAATATAGTCCCAGGAGCTCTGTTAAAATGTTCTCTCAGGGAGTGGTGGTTAAGTCAAGGAACTATTCCTTTCTGGTGTTTTCCTTCTCCCTACAATATGGATTTAATTAAACCTGATTCTAAAATGTTCCTTTTGACTTACCCAGGAAAGTAAGAACTGAAGGTTGGTTGTTTACCTATTTTATAGCATGACTTTACAAAGTCTGATTCTGTTTAGGATATCTGAATGCTCTTGAGATGCAATTGATACATCTTGATGAAGCTGAAAGGGACTTGCTGTTATCCAGCAGAGGGTACTGGTATAGGTACCAGAAGACTTGAGATCTCTGAGTTCATATAAGATTTTGACTGCTTTATTTTAAACTCTGTGTGTTTCAGTTTCCCATCTGTAAAACTGGTCTCCTAGCATTTGACACCTCTGGCAAGTCCCTTGAGATCAGTGAATAGTCAGTGCACTATTTAAACTCAGAATTATTAAAATGAAATTAGGGATAGTGCTTGCCAATGAATGTGAAACCCCATGCCAATAAACATGAAGTGATGTGAGTGGTGAAGCTGGTACCCTTCCCTTGCTATTTTCTCAGCTTCTCGGCTTCCCCAATCTCTCTAGAACCCAAAACATTGATCTCAACTCATTATACCTTTCCTTTCTTATGCCTTCTCTGTTTTCTAATTGTCTTTTGTAGACAGCCTATTTTTGATTGCATGGAAATTTATTAACCAAAACTTTTTAATATAGTGGCTTTTATTCTGGGATTTATCTATAAAATGCAGATTGATAAACAGGATATAGTTCCTGAATCTCTCAGAGACTGCTTCTACTTAGCTTTATGGTTCCTTTGCTTTTCTTTATTCCCCTCATTGCAAGGGTTAGGGAAAATAATGACCGAGTGGGAAATGTTACTTAAAAATAATATTCAAGAATAATATGTCATATATCTGTAGGTTTTTAGCAGATAGTGTGTACAGCCAGGCTGTGAGGACAGGCTCCATGCCAGCTCACTTCCTACTCATTGATGAGGAACTGTTTTACTTGTGTGCTTATACCTTCTGCATTTACCATCACGCATAGATCCAGTCCTACAGACTTGTGAAGCCAGTGGAGTTTTTACCTCAAGAATAGCTGTAGGATGTTGAGCTGAGACTTCAAATTGTTACCACCGCTTTACATGTTAAATGGTTGGGTTTATGTTTTGTTTCTGTTAGAGTAAGGATGGGAAGAGCCCGCTGCACATGACAGCTGTCCATGGGAGGTTCACACGGTCGCAGACCCTCATTCAGAATGGTGAGTTTCTGTGCCTGTTCAACGACTCTCCAAAAGATTAGGCATTTCCAAGGTTGCAATTTGTAGTTCTTCCAACCCAGGGTCCCAAAGGCCTGAGAGCTGCTTAGGCTTTGAGCTGCACTGACAGCTCTCATTCCAGCATGTCATCTCAAGTTGAGATTTTGGTTGTTAACAAAATTGCACATTCTTCCAGCTGACAGTGGTCTGTTGTGATTCTTTACCTGAAAACAAGAGTTTGAAGCTGTATTTAGGTCTTTTTTCTGCTGAGAAGCCGGCACAACTGTCTTTCTCAAATTACTTAGAAACTTTTTCTTTTTTTAGTTTTTAGTTGTCCTCCCTTGGTGAGCCCTGGTGTTCTTAGAGCTCAAACCATTTTCTTGGCCCTCCACTCAGCACCTGTACTTCTCTTACCTCCCTTAGCTCCTCCCCTCACCACTATTAAGTGTTGAATAAGTATTCAGGAGGGTGGACCAGCACCACCGTGTTGTTCTGGCATAGTCAGGATTCCCGACTGTCAGTCATTTATCTGGTATCTCTTTTGTCCAAGAATACTACAGAGTATAACAAATATTATTGTTGGAGATGTGGCAGAGGCCTCTTTGCGATTGACAGAGGTTGCTATTACTGCTTGTTTACTTACACTTCCCAGCTTTGGCCACTATACCAGACAGGATGGTCTGGGGTTTGTTGGTTGGTTGGTTTTTTTGTTTGTTTTCCAAAATCCCAACCTTGGAACTTAAGTGTGAGATGTTGAAGATGGCTGAACAGTTATGCCATAAATGTAATGACACTTAAATTTACACAAGATTGTGTTTTAAAATGAAGGTCTTCAGTACATCATGCTTCTTTCAGGTCATCATGCAAATTGTTGTCCTATCTCTCCTTGGATAAATAAAACAGTAATAATTAAAGGAGTCTGGGCAAACTGGAGAAATTGTGCCTTAATGCCATTTTTAGCTGTTTAGTCAAATACGCTCTCTGACTTACAGCTGTTGTTTCCTCTCTGTTGGATTTGTGTGTGAAAGGACTGGCAGTTCTTCATCTGTCCTTCACGCCTCTCTACTCTTCTTCAAGTTACTTGGGTTTTGCTTCTTTCTTTCTTCATTTGCTACCCCTCTAATTTTAGTATTGTACACAGTTCTGATTGCAAGTGACTTTATGTCTCATTGCCATGGGATATTGTGGAAGAGAGAAATGTCAATGATTTAAATAGATGAAGTTTTGTTCTGCAGTACTTAATGAGTTGGCTAAAGATGCCTCAATTTCTGGCTGCTGTCTCTAGCAACTTTTAGAGGAAGAACGGATTACCTTAAAATTGGAAAACTGCAAATGTGATTCCCCATTTTAAAGATAGGTAAAAGAAAAGCTGGAGAATTTTTCATAGGTTAGCCAAAAATTCTGAAATGAGTGAATAAACAAACTATTTGTAAACACTTAGGGAGGAGTGGGCAATATCTGGCACAGATTTTGCAAGAGTAAAAGATGCTGAAACATCATAATTCTTTTATACAGCAGGGTAATAGGCTTTGTGAATACAGCACAGTTCTCTGACTTTTCTGTGGGCAGGTGGTGTTCGTGGAGACATCGCTGGTTGAGGCTCCACCCCAGGGAACCTCTTCCAGCATTTCACCAACCTTCATTTATCATTAGAAAAAATGCTGTTATGGTGCTTTACTAGAACTTCTTGTTGCAGTTAAAGTCCATTATCTCCTGCGAATAGTGGACATGCAGTAAATATTACCATATCCTGATGTTAGCAAGACTTTTTACATGCTTTCATAAAGTATTCTCACAGCAAACTAGTGGAGTGTTAAAATATTACAGTGTTGGTGCACAACTAGTTGAAAAACTACACTTAGAGATTAGTAATAAATGGATTGTTGTTGAAACGGAAGATGTATTGAGGGGGTTTTCAGTTTCCCTCCTGAGTCTGGAACTATCCAGTATTTTCATTAACAACTTGGATAGTGGAATAGAAAATGTGCTTTTAACATGTGGAGAAAACATAAAGTTGGGAGAGACTATTAGTTTGGCAGAAGGTGGAGTTAGAATGGAAAATGATCCTGTAAAATTTGAGACAGAAGTTGTAATGCAAGTGAAGGAAAGGAAAGATCCCCCACACAGGCAGGAGTATCAGTCGGACAAGTTAAGAACAGCAACAGCTGGGTGCATGGTGGTTCCTCAAGAAAGGATCTGGGGCTTGTACAGGATCAGAAGCTTGTTGACCACAAGCGCTTAAAAAAGCAAGCACCACAAGTGCTTAAAAAAAAAGATCAACAATGTACATGGTGCTGTACAATGTACAGGAGTGTATAGATAGGAGAGTAGCCAGCAGGCATGAAGTAATGCTTTTGCTCAGCTCAGCGTTGGGAGATGTCAGCTGTAGTACTGTTTCTGGCTTTTGACATTTTACTTCCAGAAGGATGTGGGCCAGCTGGAGAGAACTGGGGGAAGGACAAGAATAGTTGGAGTGCAGCAAACCTGACTTACAAGGAGAGACTGAAAAAATTACAGTTCCTTGGTCCAAAAAGAAAACAAGGACTTGATAGCAATCTTTGCATGGGTCAAAAGCCGCAGCAGAGAAGAAAGAAGTAATCTATTTTTCCTGCTTGTGAGGATAAAACACGAGATGACAGGCTTAAATTGCAACAGGAAAAGTTCTACTTAAGCACTGTTTGGTTGTTCATTGGTAAGACACAGAGAAGGCACACAACACGCTTGTTGTTTGCAGTGTGTTCCTGCTGGCCTCTTGAATGAACTCTGTTTAACATTGTTGTCATACAGGCAAGGTTGAGTGCCTGTAAGAATGCCCTTACGAATGAGGGCATAGTTTCAGCAGCTTATTTTGTTAGTTTAATTCAAGGCATCCATTTGTACTTTTAGATGAGCAGCAAACATGAATCATGTACTTGACCGTTGTGTGTCATCCTGTTCACCTATTTCCCACCATTTTCCCCCACCACTGCAGTTGGAGATGGAGGTGAAAATGCTGCTGCCAGACCACGTTCAGTACCAGTGGCTGACAACTGACAGCTTGCTGTGTGATGGTTCTTGGTCTCTGAAATTCAGTGTCTCTCTGGCTGGACTGGTTATGCTGCATTTCCTAGAGAGAAATAACGTCACTGGTTCATGCTTAATCTTTCAGTGTTAAACTGTATGAAAATGTCTTTCGCAGGAGGGGAAATTGACTGTGTTGATAAGGATGGTAACACGCCTCTGCACGTGGCTGCAAGATACGGACATGAGCTTTTGATTAACACCCTCATAACCAGCGGAGCTGATACTGCCAAGTAGGTGGCTGGAGGGGAGCTGTTTCTAATGATCAAGTCCAATGACTGGAAACAGAGTTACTCCTCAGGTTCTGAAGTGTGAAGGTTGAAATGGATAAGCATAATTGTACTGTACTTCAGTGGGGGACATGGGACTAAAATATGGACACTTGGGAAGTGTGGAGGGGAAGGAAGCCCTGCTAAGTTCCTGTTATTCCCAGTTACGTAGTGACAAGTAGTACAAGTACTGCTTCTTTTTCCTAAAGCATTGATGTGGCACAGTGGTATATAATGGACATGAAGTACATATACATAAAGTGCATCTTGGCCACAGTTATTCCAGAAAGTCTGTAGCAATGAGTTTGTATAGGAAACATAATTGAAAAAAAACTCAGATGCCTTCTAAGGGAAGTGTGCGCATATTCCTTAGTATCTAAATTAGCCTAATGTTTAGTGACCTGTCATACATGGTGATTATTCTTTTGTCGTGTATCTTTTGATATGATGTAGGATAACCAGCAGAAATGCATTGTTGCAAAGCAGATGTTACTAAGTATTTCTGATCTCAATATAGCTAGAGCCTGTCTTGATGTTGCATAGTTTCTGATATTCAGGTGGCTGAAATAATAGCACTTCTTTTACCTGATTTGTGAGTTTGGGAGTCTTTTTTGAATAGAATGACGAGAAGTTGAAATTAGACACACTTCTAAATGTTGTTAGTGCTTTCTGCTTCAATTAATTTTTTTGTTGGTTTTTTTTTTTCTCTTGCACATGTGTCAAGACTGTGCAACCACAATATGATGAGTATTGTCAACTCAAACATTGGCAGGTGCTTTATTTGTAAGAGTACTTGAGTATTGGTTAGTTATGTTCAGGTTCTTATGGTCTGTCAAAAGAAATAGCAAACATGAAGGTAAACAAAAGTGGACATGCAGTAAATATTACCATATCCT